TTTTTTTTTTTTTTTTTTTTTTTTTTTTGGGGGGGGGGGGGCCCTCGCGAAGGTTTTACCCAGGGGCCCACACAACCCATAATCCATCCCTGATTTTAGTTACCTGCCTCTCCCATTATTGGCACATTGTACATTGCCCAGTCTGCTTCTGGAGATACTCTGTCCTTTACAAACTTGGTTATATGTGCTGACTGACCTGCAGGCCAGTAACACCCTATGACTCAGCTGTTCTGATACAGTATCTAAGGGAAGTTCATTCTACCACATACTGTAGAAGCCAAAACTGAGAAGAGTCTAGATGCATGTCTTCCTTGTGCCTTGAAAGACGGTGGGACCATTTGAGCAATGCTGTAGGATCGGAGAGAGTGTGATGCAGTGTGGGGTATGATAAGTGCATTTAGGTAGGAGGGTTCTGGTCCATTTTTGGCTTTGGAGGCGAGAATCAGGGTTTTGAATATGATGCGGGCAACGACAGGAAGTCAGTGGAGGGAGCGTGACAATAGTGTGGTGTGGGAGAACTTGGGAAGGTTGAAAACCAGTCTGGCAGCTGCATTCTGGATCAGCTGCAGAGGATGAATGGCACTTAGAGGCAGACCTGCTAGGAGTGAGATAGAGTAGTTTAATCTCGAGATGACAAGGGATTGAACAAGTACCTGAGTGGCCTGTGAGGAATGAAATGGATGAATTCTTCTGATGTAAAAGAGGAGAAATTGACAAGAGTGAGAAAGATTAGCAACATGAGAGGAAAAGACAGGTGATTGTTCATGGTCACCCCGAGGTTGCGTGCAGTGATCGAAGGAGAGATCAGAGAGTTGTCCAGGGCAGTCACAAGATCTTGATGTGGGGACAAATCAGCTGGGATGAACAGCAGTTTAGTTTTGCTGTCCATGATGAGGTATCTGCCAGATATGTAGAGATCTCAGTGGAAACACGAGTGTCTGAGGGAAGAAAGGAGAGGATAGGAGTGGTATAAGAACTCATATGCGGATGTGACCTCACCAAGAGATCTAGTATAGAGGGAGAACAGAAGAGGACCAAGGCCTTGTTTTATGAGATGAGGAAA